CTCTTCATCGGGACGGCTGCCTGCAGGCGACAGGCGGCGGGACTGTGCGGGGATCCTCCTCTCCCCACCAGCAAGCCAGAAAGACGCCCCCCACGGAGCCCCCCGGTCAACCTCCGGCCCCGATACACATGTACGTCACTCGGACTCTTTCCGTCCCTCCGTGTCGCAAAAAACAAAATAAAACCAAACATATAACAAAACCAAAAACACGCCAAGCGTCCAGCGGCAGGTCCCAACCTGGCAACAATCAACCAATCACATGATTCTGCATTTCGCGGCGTCTCTGTGCAGCATGAGCGCCTCGACCTCTTCGACGGTTTTCGGCGGCCCTGACGGGTAGACGTCCTCTATCCTCAACCCCGCACAGTCCCGCCGCATGTAGAAGAGGATGTAGGCGCTGGAGCTCGACGACCCGAGCTCGTCCTCGTCTACCTCGGTCACCTGTTTACAAAGAGAGAGAGAGAGAGAGAGAGAGAGAGAAAGAGAGAGACAGAGAGAGAGANCTAAGGACCCATGGCGAATATGGAGCGGACGGCGTGTGGGTTTGTATCGACATCACCGGTTAATAAAAAAGATAGAAATATATGCACGAAGTAGAACACGAAGCTCCCAAACACCGCAGTGACATCAGCAAGACCAATCAACAAAATGTCAATTACAACACACCGGCGAGACCGATTAAAGACTCCTTGGCAAGGAAAAAAAAAAGAAGCCTTGACCTGATCATCGTTGAAGTAGTGCCACTTTCCGGTGGGCTGGCTCTTCACGGAGGCCACGTAATGCCCCGAACTCAGGGCCCCCAGGTGGTGCACCACCGAGTAGAGGTCGTACAGGGAGCCCCCTCGCCCTCCCTGGAAGGGCAAGACGCACACCCACAAACACGAACGGAGGGCGACGAAGACAATATAGACACCATCGGAATCAACTTTAGCAGAAGCAAAACATCATCAAATAAAGAACTTCACAAGTAGGAATAACGGGCTCAACTTAAGACAGGTGGAGATATTTAGATACTTTTCAACAGTGTACATGGAAAAAAAAACTAGCTAAAAGGCGCCAAAGAGAAAATCTACATCTGTCTCAAATGTAGACGGATGCGACGCTGGAAGACAAGATCGCCCCAGCCGCTGCATGCGTTCTCTGTGTGTGTTTTGTTCCCATCTGTTTCGGGCGCCAGTCTACACCTTTTGGCACATGCTTTGACCATCCAGCTGGGCATCCAATAACAAAAGCAAACACTTGTTAAGGGGCACGGAGACACCACGGCCGGGCACAACCAACGGCGAGGGTGAGGGCAAAGCTGCCGCCTCCGACAGACCGACCCCGAAGGACACGAGGACACGATTAAGTCCTCCCTCGGTGCATACGCCAATTTCAGGAGGGTAAGGCAGGCGGGGACAACAACAAGAGCTGCTGCTGCAAGCCACCAACGCCACAAACGAAGTGGTTCGACTTGTGGAAACCTGTTCGGAAGCATGACAAAATACACAAAAAAAAAAAGAACTAGGGCAGCAGACCCCGCAACAGAGCAGCTTGAAAATAGGCATCGTAGAAAGACGAACCCCCGCACACTAAGCACTCTTCTCATGAAAACTTGAAAATGGCAGTGGTTTCTTCGTCGCATGATGATGTCGGCAAGCAAATCTTGAAGCCGACCCGCACGACGGTCCTTACCGGAAACCCAGTACGTACAGGCCCTCTCGAAAACAAACAAAACACAAGACACAAGACACAAATATTCTTCTTCCTCTCACGTCTGCGCCGATGACTCCAGGGCTAGTCATCCCCACCCCGACCCCGCCCCCACCGCCCTCTCCTTCCCCGCCGGTCCCCTCTACTGCTAGCGCCGCCGGCCCCTCTCCTTTTCTCCCGCCGCTGCTCCCGCCGTTCGGGAGAGAGTCGCCGCCGCCGTTTGGAAGAGCCAACGGAGGGGCTGCGGCGACGTGATCTCGGCAGACGGTCGCTCCATCATCACGAGCGCTTGCCACAGCCGACACTGACGACGAAGCATCCCCAGCAGCACCCCCCCCTGCACGACGACCAACGGCGCCATCAGCTCTACCCGGCGGGGGCCCAGCGTTCCCCCCCGCCCCGTCTGGTCGTCGGGGCTGTGGTGATTGTTGTTGTTGTTGTTGTTGTTGTCGACGGAAGTGGGCGGAGGCGCAACCGCCAGTAGCACCGCTAGCTGGGTCCTTCACCACGTACGGGCTGAGGTCGAGCCCGTTCACCGGAAACTGGCGTTGCGCCGAGAGATTCAGAGCGAAAAATCGTTCGCGGTACGAAGGCAGGGGGGGGGGGGGGGGGGGGNGGGGGGGGGGGGGGCACGCGGGAGAGCGAGTTGACGATGGGGTACGGTGATGGGTCAGGTGTTTGCCATTGCCACACACGCGCGCGCAGCTTAGATGCCCCCCCATCACGGGGTTTCCAGGTCAAGCTGGACGCATTTTCATTGGTAGCACAGTCGATGATTCTAGCTACAAGAGGCACACACACGCACGCATACAGAAAAGAGAGAACAAAGAAAAAAGACAATCCCGAGAGCAAAAAAGACGGAGCTGATGTACAATATTCATTGACTCACAACAAACCCATGCTGAGCACAGGTACCCTACATAATCAAATCCCCCAGATGACCGCTGCCACATATTGCTGTCTGTGAAATAACTATCGCCCGTTCGCCCGTCATTCCTTGTCTTTTTTTTTTGGTCCCACTCACGTGCACGTTGTTCCTCAGCTTTCGTCTGCTGTACTGGGTGTACTGGAAGCGCTTGAGCTGGATGGCCAGAATCGGCGGCAGGCGCCACACGTCCATCTTCTTGGAGGCGTTACGGAACTCCTTGCAGCGAGAGCAGTACCCCTGACGAAGCGCGTTGGTGGAGGGAGGTATAACGAAGCACGGGAGAAAAAGCGGTGAGGTGGTGTGGGGGTAAAACCTGTGAAAATCACCAGAGTTCCTCCCCTTCGCCCTTCAAGCATCTAGCAGCCGCAGCAGTATTGGCTTCAGTAGTCGTCACGAAGGGACTGAACAGATCCTTTTCTATTTTCCACTCATTTTATGGCGTCTTCGGTATTTCGGGCCACACAGAAAAAAATCACCCGCCCGCCCATTTGGAAAAAATAAGACCACGAACAAGCAGCACATGACATGTCACCCTAGCCAATCCAGACACAACAGAAAATGAAACGTCACCGCACGTCTAGATAAGACAGGCTCCATAAGCCAACCGCCAATCATCTTTGGCGCAGGGGTGTTGACCCTTGCTCTGTACCCACCCCATTAACAGCTCCCCCTCCCCACTCCCGTCTCTCTCTCATTCATTCTCACCTCCTTGATGTCTTCCTGGGCGGTGAAGGTGTCGAGGCACTTCTCCAGGGAGAGAGGCCTCGCCTCCAAGTCCTTGTGGAGGGCGATGCTGCTGTGCAGCAGACACGACAGCGCCTCGCTCGGGTCGTAGTGCTCCTGTCCAGTTCATTCATTCATTCAAAAAAAAAAACGCCCGTCAACACCAGCGTCTAAGGCAGAACGAACGGGCATGTATATTGTTGACGTCGTCTATGTAGGACAGCGCGAGGTGGTTCATGTGGCTTACCCATAAGAGTCTTCAAATGGGTCCACAGGGGGGGTCAGTGCCGTGTCGCACACCGCTGTGCCTTGGTCCAGCACACTCTCACAGTACTCCCTACTCAACAGTAAAGCCTTGTAATCGACGAGAATACTCGTGGCGTCGGAGCGGCAACAACGCCCTGAGTCGAGCGCGCTGGTGTGCCCGTCAACTTTGAGCCCCAAACTTGTAGACACCATGGCGACCAAGAAGATATACACCAAGAGGTTCATGATCTCAATGGCAAAAACAAAAGCACCCCTAAAGAG